TCATTTTTCGCGCTTAATTACTTTTTTGGCTTTTGTCAAAAACCTAAAAGGTTTTTTCTCGCATTTTAAAACATTCAGTTGAACTGAATTTTATATACACGATTGTTTTGGATGGCAATACGATACTTTAATGATAATTAATAAAAATTAATGACCACTTAAAGTTATGATTCTGTCATATGTATATACATATTTATATTAATTGTAACTATTTAATAAAAAGTAACTAAAATAAAATTTTTCTTTGTTGATCTAAGTAGGAATTTACTTAAAAATTTTTTTTTTATATTACTTGTTTTAAATCCAAAAGGGATGAATTTTTTAAGTGTAGCATCTAATGTTCTATTGACTGTCATTCATTTTTATTTTTAACTACTGTAGGAAATGAAAGGATCAAATTGTTTTCATATTAACAGAACTGCCTAAAAGTAAATTAAAAAAAAAGTGTGTTTTGATTGCATTGATTATCCATTATCCCATTCATTGCCACCTTCGAGATATCTCGAAGTAAGCATGTGTACCAAAACTGCCGGCTGCGAGATATCTCGAAGTAAGCATGTGTACCAAAACCGCCGGCTACGAAATATCTCGAAGTAAGCATGTGTACCAAAACTGCCGGCTACGAGATATCTCGAAGTAAGCATGTGTACCAAAACTGACGGCTACGAGATATCTCGTAGTTTGGGCTGAAATTTTAAATTGATTACATATGTAAATTTGAGTTAGGGATTATTAGAAAAGACAAATGAAAAATTTATATATTACAAAAAACTTATTAGTTATAAATTTTTATATTTAAAGTATAGCTTAGACTATTAGATTATAACATTATAATTACATAATATGAATGTATTCCAAATATTAAAAAAAGTGTGTATGCACTTATGTACGCACGTAAGAAGTTATACTTCTTTGGCGTAACAAGATTAAAATCTTTCTAAAAATCTTTAGCAGGGTAAGCTAGGCCGAGGACGAAAGGCGGCCACGAGCAGAATTGAACGATACTGACTTCAGTCAATCGGACCAGCCAAAAACCCGAGATAATCACGATTTAAATAAATTTAAGCACCCCGCACAGGGACAATAGGGGCCAATAATATGGGGGAAAGGGGGCGAAGGCGGGGAAAGATCTGGGCCTGTTCTACATATTTCTAGACAAAGCATTTTCGTATCCGTTCCTACAGAAACAAAGAAGGTTCGCTGTCGCGAAGGATGGCTCAGTGGTGGGCCGACTGCTGATCGAGTGGTCCCCGGTTCAAATCCGGGAGTCCTTCTTCAGGCAAGTGAAGAGAAAAAAATTTTGAGGATTTTGAAGGAGGGAATGATCTGTCCCACATTCTGTATATTTCTAGACAAAGCATTTTCGATCCGTTCCTACAGAAAAGCAAAGGTGCTGTTTCGCTGTCGCGAAGGGATGGTCAGTGGTGGAGCATTGACTGCTCATCGAGTGGTCCCCGGTTCAAATCCGGGGTCTTCTTCAGCAAGTGAAGAGAAAAAATTTTTTGAGGATTTTGAAGGAGGAAATGATCTGTCCCACATTCTGTATATTTCTAGACAAAGCATTTTCGTATCCGTTCCTACAGAAAGCAAAGCAAAGGTTCGCTGTCGCGAAGGGATGGCTCAGTGGTGGAGCATTCGACTGCTGATCGAGTGGTCCCCGGTTCAAAACGGGAGTCTTTTTCTTCAGGCAAGTGAAGAGAAAAAATTTTTGAGGATTTTTTAAGGAGGGAATTATCTGTCCCACATTCCCGTTTTATTTCTAGACAAAGCATTTTCGTATCCGTTCCTACAGAAAGCAAAGGTTCGCTGTCGCGAAGGGATGGCTCAGTGGTGGAGCATTCGACTGCTGATCGAGTGGTCCCCGGTTCAAATCCGGGAGTCTTCTTCTTCAGGCAAGTGAAGAGAAAAAATTTTTGAGGATTTTGAAGGAGGGAATGATCTGTCCCACATTCTGTATATTTCTAGACAAAGCATTTTCGTATCCGTTCCTACAGAAAGCAAGAAAAGTTTTGCTGTCGCGAAGGGGTGGCCTGGGGAGCATTTGACTGCTGATCGAGTGGTCCCGGTTCAAACCGGGAGTCTTCTTCTTCAGGCAAGTGAAGAGAAAAATTTTTGAGGATTTTGAAGGGTGGAATGATCTGTCCCCATTCTGTATATTTCTAGACAAAGCATTTTCGTATCCGTTCCCCGAAAACAAAGAAAAAGGGCGCTGTCCCAAGGATGGCTCAGTGGTGGAGCATTGACTGCTGATCGAGTGGTCCCCGGTTCAAACCGGAGTTCTTCTTCAGGCAAGTGAAGAGAAAAAATTTTTGAGGATTTTGAAGGAGGAAATGATCTGTCCCCATTCTGTATATTTCAGACAAAGCATTTTCGTATCCGTTCCCTACGAAAGCAAAAAGTGCTGTCGCGAAGGGATGGCTCAGTGGTGGGGGCATTCGACTGCTGATCGAGTGGTCCCCGGTTCAAATCCGGGGGTCTTCTTCTTCAGGCAAGTGAAGAGAAAAAATTTTTGAGGATTTTTGAAGGAGGGAATGATCTGTCCCACATTCTGTATATTTCTGACAAAGCATTTCGTATCCGTTCCTACAGAAAGAAAGCAAAAAGTTGCTGTCGCGAAGGGATGGCTCAGTGGTGGAGCATTCGACTGCTGATCGAGTGGTCCCCGGTTCAAATCCGGGAGTCTTCTTCTTCAGGCAAGTAAAGAGGAAAATTTTTTTGAGGATTTTGAAGGAGGGAATGATCTGTCTCACATTCTGTATATTTCTAGACAAAGCATTTTCGTATCCGTTCCTACAGAAAGCAAAGCAAAAAAATCGCTGCGGAAGGGATGGCTCAGTGATGGAGCATTCGACTGCTGATCGAGTGGTCCCGGTTCAAATCCGGATTTTTTCTTCAGGCAGTGAAGAGAAAAATGAGGATTTTGAAGGAGGGAATGATCTGTCCCACATTCTGTATATTTCTAGACAAAGCATTTTCGTATCCGTTCCTACAGAAAGCAAAGCAAAGGTTCGCTGTCGCGAAGGGATGGCTCAGTGGTGGAGCATTCGACTGCTGATCGAGTGGTCCCCGGTTCAAATCCAGGAGTCTTCTTCTTCAGGCAAGTGAAGAGAAAATTTTTTTTTCAGGATTTTGAAGGAGGGAATGATCTGTCCCACATTCTGTATATTTCTAGACAAAGCATTTTCGTATCCGTTCCTAGGGAACGCAAAGCAAAGTTTATCTGACACGGGGTGTATAGCTCAGTGGTAGAGCAATTTGGCTGCAGATCGGGAGGTCCCATTTTCAGGGAAGTGAAGAGAAATAATTTTTTTGAGAATTTCGAAGGCGGCAATGATCTGTCCCTTTCTGTATATATTTCTAGACAAAGCATTTTCATTCACGTTCCTACAGAACACAAAGCAAAGGTTCGCTGACGCGGGTGTATAGCTCAGTGGTAGAGCATTCGGCTCCAGATCGAGAGGTCTCCGGTTCAAACCCGGGTGTCCCCTTCTTCCGGGAAGTGAAGAGAAATATTTATCTGAGAATTTCGACGGTGGGAAGGATTTGTCCCGTTCTGTATATTTCTAGACAAAGTATTTTCGCATCCGTGACGGTGTGCGTGGGCATTGTAAAAATTGACCCTCATCCTATTTCTCTATCGCCCCAAAAGAAGTATAACTTCAAAAATATTGTATTGTTGTTGCTGTGTATATGGGGCTGGGTTGTTGAGCCACTCTGGGCAAAAATACCTAGTGCTATTTTTGCTTTGTACACATTCCATATAACTTTATAGCCATCCTTGTGTGTGTTTTCTGTGTGGGGGAGATGTTCTCTCTCTCTAACAAGGGAAGGGCACGACTAAATAAATTCATTTGGGGTCGAGACTTAGTGTAATAGTAGTACTCCTTCTGGTATTCAACCCTCAATGTAACTTCGCCGAATGGCAAGTCAATTCGGAGAAAAAGGCCTTCGAAATTCATGCTTAGCTTTTATAAAATTAAATTTCAATTTCCTCCAACGATTTTGTAGCTTGTTGATATATCGTCTGCACATAGTATGCGCGAGGTCAGGGTTCGATTCATCGATCACATTTTTTTTTTCTCGTTTCATTTAATTGTTTTTAAAATTTAATAAATGTATTTATAAAAGGTTTATTAAACATTAAATGCTATTTTATGTAATTATTTTATAATTTATAAATTAAAAAAAAATACTGTTATTATATAAATATTTATATTAAATTTTATTTATATATTTTGATCTCTTTATTATCATTAAAAACTTTAAAAATAAATTACTTACAACTACTTTCTATAAAGCTACTAATCAATTGCATGCAACATTTCATCAAATTGTAATACAATGAGAGGAAAAAACATAATATGTAGATCGCCTATGAGGAATTGAATGTTTATGTTTTAGATTGTATTAGTTTAATAATTTTAATTATATAAACTGTATTTGAATATGAATAATAAAATACAGCTACTCCAAAAAAAAATATATATATAGTGATTTAACAGGGAATATAAAGTGATTTCCGTGGAAAGTCGCAAAAACACGAGAGAAATATATCACAGTAAATAATAAAAAAATAAATTAATATTCCTCGGACCGATACTGGTCCGCGGCCTGGGGATTGGGGACCGCTGGCCTAGTGGTCGCGAACTTGTTCTCGGCGAGTCATGAGTTCGAGTCCTGTGCCGCTGAAGACCAGACAAGTAGAGGATCTGATACACGTTAAATCTGGCGAGAGCTCGAACGTTCTCCCTTTGGCGTGGTGTGGTAGTTTAGTGATGGGATGTCAGCTCAGGTGTCATCCTCATCACTTGACTTATGTTCAAAATTCCAAGGTCTGTCGTCAATAGCCCTCATGTTGCTTGATAGGGAGACTTTAATAAACACTCAGTAACTGGCTTATTTAAACAACTGTTAAAAGGTTTCCGTGGAAATAACAATAAAAATCAGATACGGCGAATTTTATTTCAACGAAAATTCCTCAGTTACTATGAGAGGTAAAAAAAATCTGGAAAATTAAAAGCAGGAAAGATACCCTTTAAAAAAGTTTTTTCCAAAAGGAAAACCCCAAATCCAAGTAAACGAGTTTAAACTACTGAAAGTTTTATCTTTCAGTTATCCATTTCAACTCGAACTGAAATAAGTTTCAAATTCCACAAATCTGTTCAAATAAAAAGAGCTCTAAGGATTTCTTCCAAGATTACTTGCAAAAAGTATCTTCTAAAAGTATTTTACTTTTATCTTTTTTTTTTCTCGACCCTTTAAATTTCTAACATATAAATATCAGGAAATGCTAATCCAATTTTTTGGCCTTTGTATATATATGTAAGGGGTTTAGGGGGGAAGGGGCTCTTGGAGTATCTATAGAAACTTTTGAAATTTAAAATTTATATCAATAAGATTATAAATCCCAGCTGAATATCCTTATATATGAGAAAAGCGACTCAGTCATTCATCACTAAATCTCCGGAACTATTAGATCTACAGACTTGAAACGTGGTAAGCATGTTCCTTTTTGTTGAGAAGAGATCCACTTTGAAAAGACGTAGGGGAAATTGACTTCCAAGGGCTGTTGCGGGGGTGTTATAGATAAAATATGTCGTTTTTCAACTTTTAGACCTACTGGCTTGGGAAATTTAGCTAGAATGTTTGTGAGTAGAGATCTGCTAAGAAGGATTTTGCGAAAACATTTCCAGGAAAGGTTACTTTTTAAATCTGTATAAAAAAATTCCCCGCTTTTTCATTAGACTTGACTTGAAATTAAAAAAGCCACTTTCTTTTTTTGGGTTGGGGAAACCGGGTAGGAAAAAGGATTTTACCGAAGTCGAATTAAAAGAAAGGTTGGAGGAGGAGGTTAGGAGATAAACAGATAAAAATAATTCTCAATTTTTGTTCATCAAACCTGTTGTATTGAATTTTGATTAGCGTGTT